CAGCCTCGTTCTGAACAAAATACCTCGTTCCAAAACGGGGCAATTTAAAAAACCTCCTTTTGGAACTTCAGACAAAACGAGGCATTTTTTTTACCTTGTTAGAACGAGGCAAAAACGAGGCAAAAATTTTAACACATTTTTGCCTCGTTTGGACAGAAATGCCGAACGAGGCATTCTGAGGTTTATAGTGATACCACTACATCTACACTTCTAAGATTTACAAATCAACAAAAAGCATACATGTACTTGTATGACTGATGGACAGTATTATAATCATGTTCCTGAAGCAACGACTGCGAATTTCACATCTGGCCGTTGCTTGTTTACTTCACAATTCCCGAACTTATAGCTATGTTATCTAAAGACACGTGGGCAGTAGCGTCCAATCAGAGGTTGTGACATCGCGACCTGGATATCAAAGTAAGTGCGGATTCCTCATCGTATGGTCTGGGTGCAGTTATATTGCAACGGTATTCCAGTGGTTGGTGACCAGTAGCTTTTGCGTCTTGAAGCCTAACAGAAACGGAACAAAAATACGCGCAAATAGACAAAGAAGCCTTAGCCGTTGTTTGGTCTTGCGAAAAGTTTCAAGACTATTTAGTTGGACAAAGACAATTTCTCATTGAAACTGACCATAAACCGTTAGTCCCGTTGTTAGGTACTAAAGACTGTCTTAGACAGTCGTCCTATTAGAATTCAACGTTACAGATTGAGGCTAATGCGTTATTCATACCGTATTGTTCATGTAGCAGGTAAAAATTTGTGTATTGCGGATATATTATCACACGCTCCCTATTCTGAAGCAACTGAAGCAGATCTTATTTTCTAGAATGACACAAGCTTATACGTTCATACATTAGTATCAGACCTTCCTCTGAAAGATCAACGCTTGAATGGCATACGTGCTCAACAGGAAGCGGATCCAGTTTGTAAAGATATCATTTCATTATGTTTAAATGGTTGGCCTAGTGCAGTGTTAAACCTCATGTTAAAGCATATTTCTGTTTAAATGGTTGGCCTAGTGCAGCTCATAGTGTTAAACCTTATCTTACAGCATATTATACAGAAGACCTAACTGTAGTTGATAATTTTTTAATGTGTGGTACTAGAATTGTCATACCTAAATCTCTCCAGGCTGATATTCTTGGTAAACTACATGGAGGACACCTCGGAATTACAAAGTGTAGAGATCGTGCGAAACGTTCTCTTTGGTGGATAGGACTAAGCTCTCAGACTTAATTTCAAATTGTTTTGTATGTTGTAAACAAGCTGTGAATAAGTTTGAACCATCAGACTTTCCTGAAAGACCATGGCAGAAAGTTGCATCTGATTTATTTGAGTTTGAAAATAATAAATATCTACTTGCCGTAGATTTTTATTCCAGGTACATTGAAGTAGCTAAGCTTTCGGGACTTTCCTCAAAGTGTGTCATTATATAATCATCTAATGTCAATATTTTCCTATCATGACATTCCCGAGAGTGTCTTTAGTGACAACGGTAGTGTCTGCAGAATTTCAGATTTAGCGAAGAACTATGGTTTTACTCATGTGACAAGTTGCCCGACTCATTCATCTGGTAATGGTCAAGATGAACGAGCTGTGCGTATCGCTAAAAAGTTAATGTTATCAGACGATCCTTACATAGCATTTTTGAATTATCGTAATTCACCTCTCCACAATGGGTATAGTCCATCAGTTACTCATGGGTCGACAATTATTCTGTCAAATCGTGAAGCCGTTCTTAGAAAACAGCAGAAAGATAATGTTGAAAATAGACATTCTGCTAAATCTTTAACTCATCTAATGTGTGGCGATTCCGTGTACATTAAAGATCGTAAAGAGACAGGAACTGTTAATAACCAGTTTAGTGATAGGTCTTACATTGTGTCTACTGCTAGTGGTAAATTTCGCAGAAATAGATTTCACTTAAACAAAATGACATACTCAAGTAATGACAGTAGTGTGGATAATTATATATAAAATTGTACATCATAAGCAGTCTAAGGTTCTTCACAATAATGTCCCTTTAAGGAAATCAAAAAGAGATATCAAGACGTTTGTAAGTGTTAAACTTGTTCATACAATGTTGCTGCAATTGTGTTTACTGGTGATAGGTTTAAAGTGACTGTAACATTATCTTTCCAAGCCTTTTAAAAGTTCTGGGAATTCTTGCCTTTACATTTTTTTTATCTAGTTTTTAACTATTATAGTGAGAACTGTCAACTCGTTACCGAATCTCCCATAATGTATCTTTACTGCATAACTTTCCTTCGCGATTTAACGATTAAATGGATAATCGAGACTATCGAATCACCCATAATGTATCTTTAATTATGCCTAATATATTAAATTAGATAATCTTAAAGACACAAACCTATTCAATTGTGTATATAAGGGATATTGAGAGAGAGAGAGGTGTATATAAGGGATATTGATTGCAGGATTACATGTTAGTCTAGTTGGTGGCTTCAGTCCCCAATTTAATCTGTTATATTTAAGAGAGATAGTGAAGTCATATTCAAAGGGAAATGGTTGTTGTTATAAGTCTTATTAATGTTATGTTTTGATTGTTAATTTGTTTTTACCCATGGGTGTACTATAAATGTAAGGTTGTTATTCATTATTGATCATTGCTTGATAAAGATACCTGTAAGAGTATTGAAACCTTACATGTAATAAACTAAGAAGTAGTAAATCTATAATTTGTAGTGTTGCTTTAGAGGAGAGAGAGAGAGAGAGAGGTGGAACTTAACGTCAACCGGACACTAAATGGGGCATTTCGGGAATAACATATGGTTAAGTCTTATTTTAATACGTAGCTTGCGCGTAGGGGCCTTTATCAGTGGGAGGAAACCGGGGAACCCGGGGAAAAACCACGAGGTTTGATAGGCGGCCCTATACCTTGTTACGTACAATCAGGGAATCGAAACCAGGCCAGTTTACTCAAACTTTATGATACAACGCGCACGCGCTAACCAACTGCCAAGGGATCTTTTACATGCACGAAAATGTATACACGGGTCCTCGGTTTTTTGTCTCATCCGAACGACTAGGCAGCTGTCCTTGCCAGGTCCTCCGTTCTGCGCCACTGACAAGGGGAAACCACGATGCAAAAAAATCCCGATGAACTTTTTCGGTCAATGCAAGGATCGAACACGCGACCTTCAGGCTAGCGAGCCAGCGTCTTACCCACTTATTCACCCTTTTTCCGAAGGACGATATGGGCTAGGAACCGACCATGTAAAGTCCGTCCATCGATGCGTGATTGTCCAGTTCCTATTATATATAACTGTGAATTGGGAAGGCAATATTAGGGCTGGACTAACTCTATATTTTTTGCCGTGCAATTTTATTGTTTCATTCTGTGTCCTAGAAACATAACCCAACATGTTTATACAATTTGATTATCATAATGCAAGATGGCAGCCATGCGAATAAATCAGTCAATTGAACATATCCATAACTTTGATCAATTTTATTTTCCCATTCTGTTTCCTGATGAGTAAATCAACCATATCTATAAAATTTGATTACCATATGCAACATGGCAGCCATGCAAATAAATCAATAAATGAAACATATTGCTTTAATAATTTTCTTTTATTTCCTAAACAACACTAGAAAGTATTTTCATTTCCGGTTGCAGACCCCAGTCCACACACATTGCTTTTATAGCTTGACTAACGAATAATGAAACAGGAATAATGCTATGGTTCAATCTTCTCTTTTCAGATACATGTTATCTGGGGAGAGTCCAAAACATGAAAAACTTTTATGATTTTATGATTTTAAACGTAAAAATGACTGTTTTAAACGACTAGAAATTTTTAAACGTAAAAATGACTGTTTTAAACGACTAGAAATTTTAATTTGAAATAATCACACGGAACGTTTTTTTGTTATTTGGTTTTTACTGCGCGGATACCCCCACCCACCCCCCAACGAGATTTCTACTATTCGCATTGATTATACCAATCATCAATCCGTGTTTAACATGATTTTATTATGACAAATGGGGGAAGATATCCCGCCCTCTCTTCTCACGACAGCGAATTTTAACACCCGTGTTTTAAAGCGACATTTGGATATGCAAACAGAGTCTAGCACCCAGAAAATATTCATTCGCAGTGAGTCGCCCAGAAAATTTAGAGGACTGTTATACTCATTCGACGCCACTTTTCGACCAGAATCCAAGAAATTTCCATTTTGGGCTACAATTATATTTCACGAAACATAAAGATTGATGTTGATATTAGAGATTTACAATATTGTAGGTTTCCTGGGAATCATGGCACTAGAACAGTTTGTGGAATGACAATAATGTTTCCCCTAAATTATCTGAAAAGATATATAATATAATTAATCTATATTTCGTGGTAATTGGATATGCCAAAAAGGATATCGACTGCTGAGGATATAAATATTTAAACACGTGTTACAATCGATTTTCAAGAGAAAAAGAGAAATGGGGTTTAACGCCCACTTGACACAAAGAAGGTCATTTCTGGATTAACATATGGTTTAATTTTATTTCAATAATTCGCTTACACGTAGGGGTCTTTAGCAGTGGGTGGAAACCGGAACACCCGGACAAAACCCACCAAGTTGGACAGGCGACCATACTCCTTTTTACGTACAACCAGAGAATCGAAACCACGCCAGTTGACTCAATGTCAAACTATGATACAGTGGACATGTGCTAACCATTCGACCACCCAACCCCCCTATCTTGTCTAACCAGGCACGATCAAGGAGGAAAATAGTAACAGCACAAATATAAAATATTATTTCCTTAATAAAATGAAAGCACCATGTCGACAAGAAGTTGATTTCTAAAAACCTTTAGATCTAAAATTAACGACCAAATAAAAGTTACTGATTTTATTTCCTACAACAATTGATGCATATTATTTGTTGGGAGAACACCCCCAAAAACATAATTCACAAAAGAACACATGTGATCAGGTATTTGTGTATAAAACAAACGATAAACTCCGTGTTCAACAGTCTAATTGTTTCACGTACTCTTGCGCTATAGTATATATAGTATAGTATTATAGTATTATCATCATGCGTGTTATTTTGTGGATTGCATTGATCTTTACCACTGTTGTGACTGTTTCTGGACAAAGGAGCATGTGGCCTTGGTCACGGTATAGAGGGATGATGTCAAATCGAAGATGCATCAGTTGCTCGGACGTAAAAAAGGCTCACCTGTGTGAATCCTGCTGCAAAAGTGAGTCTGTTTTACTTATAAATATTTGTTATTATCTATTTTCAAAGATTTGTTTTTTTCCCATTACACTATTCAAGTGGCTTATCAAATTAAACACAACAAACCCCAAGAGAACGAACAGTTGACATGGCGAGAAAAACGAAACACGTTTGATTCACCATTTCCGCACCTCCACTCAGTTCATTTTTTGTCCCCCGCCTGACTGTCCGTCTGTCCGTCTGTCTGCCTTTCACACTATTTGGGACACGATAACTCTCATTCTAATTGAGGTAGAATGTTCAAACTTGGTGTAGGTGTTTATAAGGTCAATACATTGGTGGAGTTCGATAATGGACATGTGCTGCTTAGGGTAAGGATAAGCAATTTGATTGGTTGATGCTTTGGGACACGATAACTTTAGTTCTAATTAAGTGAGAGTGAGAATGATGAAACTTGGTGTATAGTCTCATTACATCGGAACTTTGGCGAAGTTCGATAATGAGCATTTTCTGCTCAGGGTAAACAATTTGATTTGACGAAACTTTAGAACATAACAACTCTGCTTTTAATTGAGGTAGAATGCTTTAACTTGATGTAGATGTTCATTAGGTGACTGAGTTCAATGATGAACATTTCCCACTTAAACCAAGCAGTTTCATTGGTCGATGCTTTGAGACAAGATAACTTTGATTCTGATGGGGAGTGATGAAACTTAGTGTATAGTTTCACTGCCATGAGGTACTTCAAAATCTTGAATGAGTTTGGGGGGTTGGATGGCTGAATGGTTAGCACGTGCGTGCTGTATCATAAAGTCTGCCATTGAGTCTACTGACGTGGTTTCGAATCCCCAGTTGTACGTGACAAGGAGTAGGGTCGCCTGTCCAACCTCGTGGGTTTTCTCCGGGTCCCCCGGTTTCCTCCCACTGCTAAAGACCCCTACGCGCAAGTGAATTATTGAAATAAAATTGAAACATGTGTTAGTCCCGAAATGACCTAGTTTGTGTCGAGTGGACGTTAAACCCCATTTCTCTCTCTCTCTCTCTCTTCCATCTCTCTCTCTCTCTCTCTCTCTCTCTCTCTAGAATGAGTTTGGTCTTGAACATTTTATAATTAGACTAAGTATAGATATTTTTCATGTATATATAATCAGTTTGATTGCTTAATACTTTTGAAAAAGATAAATGTGCAATTAATCAATATGTGTAATCTATTCATTTTGGGATGTCGGCGGGCATCCTCGGTTACCCAGTGTACCTATTCCATTCTACTCCACTATACCCTGGGTTAATCCATAGGGTTTCCACGATTTCAAATTATCTGCCCGGGCCTAGAATGTAGCTACAGTCTACGAACCAATCAGAAAACAGTTTACAAACCAATCGTTTCGCCTTCGTTTTTATAAGGGTAGATAACCATATTCATGCCCATTTACTGAATGATTTATGTAAATAATGTATATATTTCTAATTTATTAGGGTTTCACACTGCGTAGCTTGTGTGAAACACTATTGTTTTTGTTAAAATTATTCTTATTATTATTCTTCTTATTATTATTATTTTTTTTTTCCAATTTGCTTATATCTCAGCAACTTCTTGTCGGATCGATACAATGTCTTCAGTTTTACTGGGAAAGTGGGTGTGACTTGGAGATTAAAGCTATTCCCGGCATTCTGCGACATTGCGAAATGTCCGAAATCACCGAAAATGTCGTTTTTTGAAATATTGCCGTAATACTAACAATAATCATTGGATTTTAGCATATGATGCATTTTAACATAGCCAGAAACAGGGGACATAGCTATGTTACTTTTGATTTTTGATTTTCGACAAATCTTGGAAGATATTAGGCGCCAAATTTTGAAAATTTAAATTTTTACAAAAAACTTTTTTATTTATTAATATTTTTATATGACATTTTAACCAAGGTTAAAGAGTCATCTGATTTGAACAAAAATGTCAACATTTTTTGTTTCCGTAATTTTCCTTGGCCGCCATTGGCTAATTCAGTTTTTCAGTCCTACATTAATTATTTATTGTTCGATTTGTATAAAACCTAGTTCATATGTTCCGTGGTTCAAAATATCATTTTTTTTGTTGCCGGTAAAGTTTCCTGTCGGAACCGGAAGACGCGTAAATTTAGCAAAAACTACAATATTGACAGTTCGGTACCACTTACCACTTTTTGAAAGCAAATATTATTTTTTACAAATCTGATATTATCCAAAAGATGCGCACTGTTAAGGTGCACAAAATCTCGGACTCAGTTTTTTTAATTTCGATTTCGTTTTCGGGCCATTTCGATTAAAAGGTAAAAAAAGGGGTAAAAATAAGCTATTTACAACCCATCCAGCGCCTTCATATATTAAAATATTTCTTTGATACGTTCATAAACTTGTAGAAATAACCCATACGAAGAGAATGTATGTGAAAAATAGTTTGTAATATGAGCAGTTGCCGAGAAATGGGCAATTTTGCATGAGTCACTTTTTACGCTAGTTTGCCTGTAAAAGAATCAATCATTACTGGATTTTCATAAAAGTTACACCATTTGGTGCGTAATGTCAATTTAGGTCAAACCAATTCAACATTACCAATATCACCGGAAATTACGTAATTTGGGCAAAAACCGTATTTATAGCCTTCGAAACAAATAATTTATTCAAATGAGTTGTATTTGTTATTCGTTTAAAATTTTGATATTTGATTCCAATCAACTAATACAATGAACCCTTACGATCATATAGATATCACAAAATGGTTTCTAACTTGTTCAGTTGCGGAGAAATAGGCAATTTTCAACAGGTCACTTTTTAAGGTTTTTTGTCAATAAAAGTGTCAATTATTGTTCGATTTTCATGAAATTTTCACTGTGTGATACATAATGCCATTTACGATTTCATATAAGTATAAGTAATTTAAGATTTTCATTATCACCGGAAGTAACGTCATTTTGGCAAAAAATGTATTTTTAGCCTTCAAAACAGATATTTTATTCAAATGAATCAGATTTGTAATGTTTTTAAAATTATGATATTTGATTCCAATCAACAAATAGAATGAACTCATTCGATCATACAGATACCTCAAAATGGTTTCTAACTTGTACGGTTGCAGAGAAATAGGCGATTTTCTACAAGTCATTTTTCAAGGTTTTTGGTCTATAAAGGTGGCAATTATTATAGGATTTACATAAAATTTTCACCATGTGATGATGCTATTTCTGATTTCATAAACCAATTTAACATTTTCATTATCACCGGAAGTAATGTAATTTTGACAGGATCACTGACATGTAGCAAATGAATTGATTGCTGGATTTGGTTGTTTCTGCGTCCATTTTATTTCATGTGTGCAATGCTTATGTGGAAACCTGTTTAACGGTTTCATTGTTACCGGAAGTGACATAAGATCAAGGGTAACGTGGCACCGGTGAAACCCGTCATTACTGCTTCGCAGTTCTAGTTTATATTTAATTTTATTATCAACATCTGTAGTATGTGTTGTTGATTTCAAATATGTATAACATCTATATGTTTGACTTTTGTTATTATTATTACTATTCGTTTTTTGTCTGAAATATGTCATTCTGTTATGTTTATTATTATTGAACTTATGGCAATTTGATTCACAATAACTTGTCTACGATATCACGTGAACATAAAATTCCGGTCGTTTATATGAACGTCTGGTCTTCATTAGCATAATATATAATCGTTTTTTAATAATTACGCATTTAGAATAGGCCAACTCCTAACATTGTCCGATGAGTGTTACTTACCTTTGCCAACTTCCTTTTCGAATAACAATTTATGGGATTGGTCGATAAAAATAGCACAATCATCAAGGGCGGATAACTTGAAAACCTGTCTCCCCCATAGATTAACCCAGGGTATAGTGGAGTAGAACGGGATGAGTACACTGGGTAACCGAGGATGGTCGGCGGGGGACATCAGCCTCACTGTTGGCTTGTCCAACTTGGATTAAGGCCATTATATTTTTCAGTGGGTGTAAAATTAATGAACACTTTTCTATTTATTAACCGATTTAAAAATGATCTTCATCATGGTAAACACTACGGCGTATATTTACGCCCACATTTTATGTTTCACTTTTTAAAAGTTGAAAACAGTGTGTTAATCCTTTATAACATTAACAATTATAGTTGTGTATTAGATAAACTATCAAAGTTGTAACTTTAGTTAATATTATTAATTCTAGGATCAGCCTGTACCCCAAATCCTTGTAAAAACAATGCTACATGCTTGTCAGTTGATAACGGTTACAGCTGTAGTTGTACTCCTGGGTATTTTGGTGAAAACTGTGATGGTAAGATACATTGTATATTGTATCAATAATTTCCTGAGAGAGAGAAAGAGAGAGAGAGAGAGAGAGAGAGGGGGGGGGGAGAGAGAGAGTGTGTGTGTGTTTAATGTCCACTCGGCACGAACTAGGTCATTTAGGGACTAACATATAGTTCAATTTTATTTCAAGAATATCGCTTTCGCGTAGGGGTCTTTAGCGGTGTGGTGAAACCCTAGGACCCGGAGAAACCCACGTTGTTGGCCAGGCAACACTACTTCTTATCACATACAACCGGGGAAACGAAACCACGCCAGATGATTCAACGACGGAACTTATGATACAACGCGGGCGCGATAACCATTCGGACATCCAACGCCCATCGCAGTGGATGAAACTAGTTATCGAAAGGTTTTCCGCCGGTACCATTAGCTTCCCAAAGGTAAAAGCTAGACACCCCGTAATGTAATTGTTCGGGCATTTTACAACCTGTTAACGACTTATTTGACTACGTACTAAGATTCTTGGTTTTAATACACAACGATAAACAATTCGATGAAAACCAAATAGAAGTAAAAATATTGGCTATTAATTCGGTATTAATAAGCAAAATCAGAAAGTTATAACTCCAAAAATTCAATGGTGGATAGCGAGACTTGAATGGGTGAATACCCCTGTATAGATGTTTATTATATTATTGGTGCATATTTAATTCTAGTGAATGTGTGTCTACCTAACCCATGTAAAAATAATGGTACTTGTTCACCAGTTGATAACGGATACAGATGTAATTGTACTACAGGATATTTAGGAGAAACCTGCGACGGTACGTTACGCACATTCTTTTTTGTCATAATAATTTAGCCAGCCTTGATTGAACAACAAACATTTATAAACAAATCCAAACCAATAAGGACCCGAGATACAGTTTCTTTGGACCCAGATTGACATAGAATTCACCCATTACAACTGAATTAAATCTTAACATAATGTAAATCCGCACCATGTGATTATGCAGCTGAATTCGGTAAGACTCGCATATAATCGACCTCCTTTACAGTTACAAGTATATCTTTGTAGAAGACAGCCTAATACAAATTCATTGCCATTGATTATACTTTCCTGGACCAAGCTTGTTCGTCGAAGATTATCTGCTGCTCATCGGACCATTTCACTCACATTCTATACAGAATTGATGCGAATAATTTACCAGATAGTCAGTTCAAATATAATTACTTGGTAATGTGGTCTGTCTCTTTTCATGCAATGAACCTAATAACGCATGGAGACCATGATTCAGGCAACGAATATGCGACAGCTAACTTTGTTGTAAAAGAGGAGTTAATCTATAATGGTCGCATTTATAAATCTCAATGGGTATCATATCCTCACCAGTACTTTTTGCATTTAAATTATCATTTTACTTAAATCCCTGGTAATTTCTAACTCGCTCATGTCCTCGTTTAAATACGAAATACCCATATTATGTTAATGAGATTTTTTTAATTATGTTTAATTTAAGTAAATCCTTGCAATGTATACGACCCCTGTGTAAATAATGGTACGTGTTATCCATCAGAATTTATTGTGAATTGTAGCTGTCCTACTGGATTTATTGGAGCTTTTTGCCAAGGTTAGCCTGTACTTACACTTTAAAAATATAGTTTTATGGTTGCAGTGAAAGACTATGAACAATTTTCTGTTGGCTGTACTGTCGCCTTTCAATCACGTTTACATTTTAAGTGTAAGAGTAGTCATGAATTTTGTCCCTTTTTCAGAGCCTGAAGACACACCACAAGTTGCAGAGGGTGAGAAATACAATCCTATTTAGATTTTAACTATAATATAAATAATAGAGGACATGCTGTAGAGGTTTATAAAACGAAATTGCTGTTAGACGTGGATGTGTTGGGTAGCCGCGTGGTTTAAAGATTGCGCGTTAGATCTTACGGTCTGTCACTGAGTCAATTTGCATGGTTTCCGGTGAATCACATGGTCAGATGCTGCGAATAACATACATGGTAGATCTGCCACATTTCCAATGGACCAATGATTTCTGAAGACAGGGGAAAATGTCATATTATATGATAATAATATAAGGGTTTATTTATATTGGCAATATATTGTAATGTTTTTTTTACAGAGAGAGTATGTAACTTTACACAGTGCGATGCGATAAATGAAAATTGTGAAAAATTGCTATGCTTAGACGCGGGTAAGAAACATAATCTTCTATAAGCTACATTTAATAATATTAAAATGATTATAAACCTTTTTCTTTAGAGCTGAACATTCATTCAGATTCTGACTGCTTTGTGGCGCTTTACATTATAAATGTCATTATAAAAAAACCATACATGTATATACAAATAAACAAAAGAATACAAAGGAATAGTCAAGTTACAATATACAAATGAAAAGTGAAGCATTTAAATTATAGTTCAAAAGTTTGGGTTAAAAAAAAAGGGTTTTTAGACGTCGTTTAAATATTTTGGACTATTTTGGACTTCCAGTGGCAATGTTTCATTCGTTTGGTGCTGCAAACGCAAAAACTCTCTCACCAAATTTTGGCGTCTGTACTGACATATGAACGTTGAATTAAATCGAATACAAAGGGTGGTTCAAAAGGATCGTTTAAACAATTGAACGTGATTGATTTTATTTTGAAAATGATGCCTTGAATAATTGGTAGTTAATGTAACTGTTTTAGAACAGGTGTAATACGGTCAGATGGTGTGGTGAGAGATACAATTCGATCTGCTTTATTCTGGATTTTCTGTAGCTGACTTACAAGCGTTTTAGGAAGAGAATAAAATAATGAATAACAATAATCTAAAGATAACATAACAAAAAGCATTTATTAACATTTTAGTGGCATAGGGTCGAATTTTGCCAATGTTACACAGATGAAAGTTCACCTTTTTGCACAGCCTGGATACATGAGTTTTCATATCAAAGAACACACCAAGATGTTTGACACAGTTGGATGGGTTATGGCAGTGCTTTGAAAAGTCACATGCTTGATGTCAATGTTCTTTTTATTCCCGATTATTTTATTTTCTGTTTTTTTTTCATCGCTCAATTTCAAATAGTTGCTGTACATCCAGATTCTAATTTGTTCAATGCATGCTTCAAGTTCTGATGTAGAGGTATCTGGTGAAGGATCAAGTTCAACATATATCTGGATATCATCCGCAGAGAGGTGGTAATTAAGACCCATCTCACGAATGATATCTCAAATGTGTGCAGTATATGCTGTGAACAAAACCGGTCCCAATACGGGTCCCTGCGGAACACCAAAAGCAAGTGTGAGAAAGGGAGAAATGGTATTTAACGCCCACGCAACACAAACTATGTCATTTTCGACTAATATATGGTTCAATTTTATTTCAATAATTCGCTTGCGCCTAGGGATCTTTAACAGTTGGAGGAAGCCGGAGGTTGGACAGGCGACCCTACTCCGCGGGGAATCGAAACCACGCCACTTGATTCACTGACCGACCCCCACCCAAATCAAGAACTTGATTGAGATGCGTCAATAACGATACTCTACTGTCTTCCACTCAGATACGACTCCAACCACTTCAGTGCGTCTCCGGATATAACGTATCGAGTTTCAAGTCTCCCGAGTAGGATTGATAGATCTATCGTATCCAATGTTGCGCTCCAGTCCAATAAAACTAGCGACACTGGTGCCTTCCGATCCTAGTAGGACGTTAAACCCCATTTCATTTCATTTCATTTCTTCCGATCCACGCTGCATACGATATGATTTTATACACGAAGCACGACCGATTCCGTACTGTGACTGAAATGTTTCTTGGAGATTGCTTTCAGACAAATGATATCTAAACGATTAAGGACAATTTGTTCTATATCTTTCTCCAAATTAAAAACTCCAAATGAAAAAGAAATTATTATTATTATTATTATTATTATTATTAAAGCACTTAAAATTAAAATTCCATCATTTAATTCCATGTTGTGTAGTGAACCAGTAACTTGGTTGTATTTTTTTCAGGTAATTGTACTGGTAAAACCTGTGAACCCGATGACTTAGAGGGTTGTGTTGATGGTACCTGTGCATTCTTCGGTAAGTATGCTACCTTCCAAACCATATCTCGATCATTCAAAAATGTATTCATGGAATGCTTGCAAAATAGACGTTGGAAACAAATCTATGACGTAATAAGAGTAATACAATACACATTAGGTAAATAGGAAGGTGGTCTTCCTATATGGCACCTGCATTGGCCGAGAAAGTTCATCCAGATTTTCCGGCGTGTTTCCCCCTTGTCAGTGATACAGGACGGGGGGCCTGACAAGGACAGCTGTCTAGTCGTTCGGATGGTACGAAAAACCGAGGTCCCGTGTACACATATGGCGTGCACGTAAAAGATCCCTTGACAATTGGAATTCGATAAAAGAGTTGGCCCTAGTGCCGCTGTCCAGGCAAAATTTATCTCATAGTATAGCGTATGCCCGTCTTCATTAGTCCAGTTCGGAGCAGAACCGTAGGACGCTATACCTCATTTCATTTCCTATATGGCAAATAATCAAACTCCATATTTTAGTAGTATTTAAACATACATCATGCAAGAGCCACATCTGCCTATTGTAAGTCTTTATTTAGGCTTTAGATGTTATAGAAATTATTAATTAGACCTTTATTTACTTGACAAGCCCAAAATCAACTCTGTAGACCCTCGGATGGCACGGATAAAGTTTGGATTTAAACAGTCGTCCATTTAAAATTAAATTAATGAATGACCGACCAAGCTAACGTTTACCGTTTGTCACTGATGTTACTACCGGAGACTGGTGATGAAAGGTCTGCCAAGCGAGGGTACCATAGCCATTGAGAATGTTACTTGATAATCGAGAATATGTGGGTGGAGTTATTGTCTGTCAATCAAACGATTGTAAATTCTCGTAGACGGTGCGGACACAGTTGGTGCCTATTTATAGTCTAAATTTCCAACAGTGACAACTCCGTTCAGAATAAAGTAATTTGACAGAAATTTACAATATTTTATTTTGTTATCATCTATTTTTGAATTAGCACGAATGGCCAACTCTTTATTAAACTCTTAACTAATGTATCTTTTAAGCGTTGAATCGGTAACACATTTAACCTGTAAGCTGCGAATAAAATATATAGCCTCTAGCAGGATAAAGAAACACCTTCATTAAAAGGTTAAAAACTCCATTCGTTTCCAAAATAAAGTCACTTCGGATGACAGTTCTTTATTTTTGATGATAAAATGTCCTTTTGGTTAAGGCTTCAATTACGAACATCGAAGTGAAGGGGTTAAAATGTGATTAAAATTAAAATTCGACATTGATATGGCGTTGCATTTGACAATACAATCTGTTTTACGTGAATCCACATTGCCTAAATGAGTAAGACGCTCGTTTGCTAGCCTGGAGGTTGCGGGTCCGCTCCCTGTGTTGACCGAAAGGTTCATCGGTATTTCCCGGCGTCGTTTCCCCTTGTCAGCAGTGGTGAAGGACGTAGGGTCTGACAAGGACAGCTGTCCAGTCGTTCCGATGAAACAAAACATCGAGGCCTCGTGCACGTAAAAGATTCCGTGGCAGTTGGAATTCGATATAAGAGTAGACGTTAGTGCCGCTGTCCGGGCATAGTTTCCCTCATAGCACACTGTATGAGGTATACCTATCTTTATCAACCCAGTCGACCCAGAACAGTAGGATGTTAAACCCGATTTCATTTTATTTATATTATAGGTGATGTGTGTTTTTCTCTACAAGGTGACAACTATGTCTTCTGTCAAGTACAAGGTATTTTATGATACAATGTTTAATTTAGTTACAGTCATATAACCTGATTTTCTATAATTTGTGTTGATCAAATGAGTGACATTCAGCTATATTCAAAAAATGATTGTTTCAGGTGAACCATGTGGGGATGGTAACTTCTGCAGTGCATTTAGTAAATGTGTAAATGACATCTGCAGGCGTAAGTATAATACACATTTGATAAGTTTCTAAATTCAACTCTCATGATTATATACCAAAAAATACCATGATTGGGATGGAAAAATCTATATTTTAATTACATTGGTATAAGTAAATAACATACAAAAATATAAGTAGAATTGAAGAATTTGAGAGAAAAAAAACATTTAAAATTGAATTTCTGGCTAGTACTTTCATCGTGTAAAAACGAATCGCCAGATGATCTCCGAAATTTGGTACGCCCGCCAATATTGGAGAAGGTTTAGGTTTGGAATTAAAGTTACAGTTTGACATTCATGGAAACGTTTCTTAGATGATTGTTTTATCATATTTGTTTAGGATAATGTTTTATTAAATTAGTTATATCTCATGCTAAACTCACTAAATGAAAGTTTAAATTTCATAATACAAATTTTTTTTTTAAATCAATTGACTTTTTAGATTTAACGATAACATTATCTGAAAATGATGACATTACAACTGATCTAAATTATAAAACTACTGACACGCACCGGTATTTAGATTTCAATTCATGTCACCTTTCTCATACAAAAAGAAACATTCCGTTTAATCTTGCTAGGAGAATTTGTACAATCGTATCATGGGATAAGAAAATACTCATAAGATTACAAGAATTAAAACAATTCATTCGAAATCAAAACTATCCCAGTGTTTTAATAGAAAATGGCATCAAACATTTCGTAAAATTAGGAAGTTTTACGAAAACCGAAAGTTTTAGGTAAACGAGATGTAATTTTGACTTTATTTACAACACATAATCCTTCTCAAGAACGAGGTATGGACATAATTAGATGACATTTACCACTGTTATATCTAAAAAATGTTATTCTATCTGTACTAGTTTCCATTGTAATTTGGATATTAGGATGAATATTATTGATTATGTTATAAAATAATAAAAGATTATCAAATGATTGGAGCCAGATGAAGAACCAATCATCAAAGTCAAATGTTTCTTCTACTTTCAATGGCTAATTCTAAATATCCAAGGATGGTCCCCCTTTGTTTCTGTTATCAATATCCGTCTAATTGGTTCATTTGTATAAGAGTGGCAGGTTCCTTGTTCTTGGTAGTGTATGCTTAATTGGTTACCAGCTGGAACACCTGGTAACACTATGTTGGATGATATGTTTTATTTTGAATTTTATCAACCACATTATCGTGTAGGCCTTTAATCATATGAAAGCACGGGGGGTTGGATGGCTGAATGGTTAGCGTATGCGCGCTGTATCACAAAGTCTGTCATTGAGTCGACTGGCGTGGTTTCGAATCCCCCGTTGTACGTGGCAAGGAGTAGGGTCGCCTGTCCAACCTCGTGGGTTTTCTCCGGGTCCTCCGGTTTCCTCCCACTGCTAAAGACCTCTACGCGCAAGCGAATTATGTAAATAAAATTAAACCACATGTTAGTCCCGAAATGACCTAGTTTGTGTCGAGTGGACGTTAAACCCCATTTCTCTCGCTCTCTCTCATATGAAAGCACAGTTCTATATTATAAATTATCTTTATTATAGCCCTAGGGAGCTGTGATGAGCGGGCTGAGAGAGCTGGTTGCACTGGCCTTTCTCTTACTGGCGCATGTGTAAGCGGTTTCTGTCGCGGTAAATATGATTTGTTTTATACACAATGAGTCAATTATTTATATATAGACTGTGGATCATTTATACATTAACGATAAAATTTCTAGAAATCTCTTAATGTAATTCTGACAAGGACAGCTGTCAAGTCGTTGGGATGGTACGAAATACCTAGGTCCCTTGTATACATTGGCGAACACTTAAAAGATCCCTTGGAAGTTGGAATTAGATATAAAAGTAGGCCATAGTGCCGCTGTCCGGGCAAAACTTTCCTCATTGCACACTGTATGGCGTATGCCCGTCTTCATTAGCCCCATTTCATTCATTCAGTGTAGGAGAAAGCACAAGACTTCGGTTATGCTGGGGAAAGAAAAACTCACGAAAAAAAACCCGAAAAAAAGAAAAACCGAGGCCGACAGGGGGCTATTAAAATGGGTACGTCCGTCTGTCTGTCTGTCCGTCACACTTTTTGGGACACAATAACTCTCTTTCTAATTAAGCTAGAATGTTCAAACTTGGTGTAGGTGTTTATTAGGTCAATGTCTTGATGGAATTCGAAGATGAGCATTTTCGGCTTAGGGTAAGCAGAGATAAGCAATTTGATTGGTTGATGCTTTGGGACACGTAAACTTTAGTTCTAATTAAGTGAGAGTGATGAAACTCGGTGTTGTTTCATTACATCAATATCTTGACTAAGTTCGATAATGAGCATTTTCTGCTCAGGGTAAGCAGAGTGACAAGCAATTTGATTGGTCGAGACTTGGACCACAATAATTCTCATTCTAATTGAGTTAGAATGTTCACACTTGGCGTGGGTGTCAATTAGGTGAATTCCTTGATGGAGTAAGCAGAGATAAGCAGTCTGATTGTTTGACGCTTTGGGACATGATAACTTTAGTTTTAATTAAGTGAAAGTGAGGGCACTTGGTGTATAGCTTTATTATATCAATACCTTGACTAAGTTCGATAATGAACATTTTTTGCTGACGGTAAGCAGAGTGATAAGCAATTTGATTGGTCGGGACTTTGGAACACAATAACTCTCCTTCTTTATTGAGGTAGAATGTTCAAACTTGGCGTAGGTGTCTATTAGGTGATTGTTTAAACTTGATGTAGATGTTCATTAGGTGAATGTCTCGACTGAGTTCAGTGATTAACATTTCGAGCTGAAGCTAAGCAGAGCTTATCTATTTCATTTGTCGAAGGTTTGGGACAAGATAATCTTGTTTCTATCTGATAGAGTGATGAAACTAAGTGAAAAAAATAAATGTGCGATTAATTAATATGTGTCATCTATTTATTTTGCAATTTCTGCGGGGGACATCAGCCTCATTGTTGGCTTGTTCATTCTAAATATAACTTGTTCCTATTGCCGTGTGGTGAATAGATTACTACAATATGCTGATATTCCTATTTATAGTACCATGTAGTAATGACCAGAAATGCAAGGGTTATCCATGTGTTGATGGATTCTGTGCAGGTAAATATTCACTCACTGTTCTATTTATAATCACCCATCGTAATATGATTAAAATGTAGTTATCTCTCATGTGTTGATGGATTCTGTGCAGGTAAATCTTCACTCTCTATTCTATTTATAATCACCCATTGTTATATGATTTGGCGTATTTATTTAAATAAGAAACATTTTCGGACACTAACCAACTTTCTACGCCCCTTCCTCGTTTCCATTTTGTGTAAAGTGGACCATGGTGTGGCCTGGAGTGTGTACTACAGATTTACCATCTGGCGCACGGAATTTTGACTTTATCATTACCGGTATTAAGGCTTTTTACACATAATTAATGGAAAAGACATTATAGCAGGGCATTTAATATTGACAGCGATACCCTTCCCTACTGTCATGGTTACTTTGAGTACGTTCACCATGATGTTTTAGTCGTTTACAATGGCGATAACTGTACATGCATCTTATGATATCTTCTAAAATGGCGTAAACTGGAGGATGTACTATAGGTTTACCCCATGTCTCTCACGGTTACTCTTTGAACACATTCACTTGATGTTGTTATGAATGGTATAAACTTGATGGTGCTCTGTAAATTTAAGCGTTGTCTGTCATGTTTATTGAAACTATTATCCATTCATAAATGGGACATGGTGAATTTCTAAAATTCTAAAATCACCTTTTAATGACCAACATGTCAAAAAAAATAGGAAAAGCTGTAACACTACAAATAACAGAGTATCAGTTTCGTAAATATGGTATTGTTTTATATCGGGATCAGAATATTAAACAGAAACATAACAGAAATATAACACAGTGCATCACTACTTTAAGTCAACATTTCCACCCCTCTGTCCAACCTCGTGGGTTTTATCTAGGTCCTTCGGTTTCTTCTCACGACTAAAGACTCCTACGCGCAAGCAAATTATTGAAATAAAATTGAACCATATGTTAGTCCCGAAATGACCTAGTTTGTATCGAGTGGGCGTTAAATTTGATGAAGTTATGGAGCACTTTATCACAAACGTTAGCACAAAGATTCTTAGACAGGAGAGTGTGTTGGGTTTTTGTTCAACATCTTTTGACATTTTTAGAAGAATTATGACAGGTTGTATATTCATAATATATAGACCATATTTTTGTATTTTCAGATGTCTATTGTGGGGAGTCATTTTGTACTGCATAACTCTAAACCAACAACTACAATATTATATTCTTTACTTCTTTAAAGCACCTAGATGCAAACAACTACAATATTATATTATTTACTTCTTTAAAGCACCTAGATGCAAACAACTGCAATATTATATTCTTTACTTTTTTAAAGCACCTAGATGCAAACAACTGCAATATAATATTCTTTACTTCTTTAAGGAAACCAATATATCAAAATATAACCCAGATCGTAAAATAAACTTTATGTTGGTTGCTTGTTTGTTTATTGTTTATTTTGTTTGTAATATAGTGCTGACATGTTTTCTTTATATTACTGACAGAACATAATAGTTTATCGTTTAGACAGTAAAATACCCAGATTAACAGAACATATTGCTGTGTTTATCGGTCGCCCAGGTTGTCTTTTTTTATAGTTTAGACAGTAAATTGTTGTGTTTATCACTCGCCCAAGTTGTCTTTATCGTTTAAACAGTAAAATACCAAGATTAACAGAACATATTGCTGTGTTTATCACACGCCCAGGTCATCTTTTTTTATAGTTTAAATAGTAAATTTCTGTGTTTATCCGTCACCCGGTTTTTATAGTTTAGATAGTAAAATATGAATAGTTATTCATGTCGCCTGTGACACAATCAAAAGAGAGAAAGAGAGAGAGAGAGAGAGAGAGATGGTGTTTAAGACCCATTTTCCCAAAATCGTAAAGAAAAGCTGCCTTTTTTTTCGATGAATTTTAAAATCAATAGGCAGGGCGACTCCAAGGATCATCGGATATACTCCACAGACCAACATTTCAGGTCGAAATTTCAAAAATCGGGGAAGGATCCCCGGACGTCCTCAACCCAGGTTGGAAGAGACCCCCATCCCCTCCAAGGTGTCATCATGTTTTCTACCCACAAGATAGCTATCTAAAAGATGTAATGCAGAGTCACAAATGAAATGAAATGGGGTTTAACGTCCTACTGTTCTGCTCCTAACCTGGGCTAATGGCAGAGTCACAAATACCGAATTTAAAATGAAGTCTACGTAAAAGAATAGAATGATCCGCTGTGTCGAAAGCAGCAGATAAATCTAATAAAAATTAAAGATGTACACTCTCTATCATCAATTGCCAGTAAAATATCATTTGAAACCCCGGTTAAAGCTGTTTCGGTACTGTGAAATTGTTTAGAAGCACAAATAGTTATTATCTAGATGTCGAGCCGTTATCAGAAGCAACACATTTCTCCAATAATTTAGATCCAGTGTAGGCTTTTTAATTAAATTAAATGAAATGGAGTGTTAAGGTTCGACTGTTCTGCTACCACTGGGCTAATGAAGACGGGCATACGCCATACAGTATGCTTTGAGAGAAGGGGTCTTTTACGTCCACGCCAATTTGTACACATGACTTCGGTTTGTCGTCCCATCCGAACGACTAAACAGCTGTCCTTGTAAGTCCCTCCTTCCTACACCACTGGCAAGGGGAAACCACCTCGGAAAAATCCGGATAACATGCGACCTTCGGGCTGCAGGGGCAGCGACTTGCCCAGTTAGCAACCGTGGCCCTATACATCCAAATGCTCGCGGTGATCACGCACAAACGACATATCAACAATCTATCACATCCGTTATTGATAAATATATAATCATCAAAAACAAAATACAAAAAAAACTTACAGTACCGTTTGAGAGTACCAGCTAACCGGCGCATGTCGAACAATACATACGAGTTTGAAAAGACAACGTCACAGAACTGTGGCATGTAGGGTGTTTAAACATATCAGGGGCCGAGTTGGTGGACGGCGATGATGACTATATATTCCACTGTGACATGTATAGGATGTTTAAACGACATATCAGGGGCCGAGTCAGTGGACGGCGATGATGACTATATACTCTTAGGATGTTTAAACGACATATCGGTGGCCGAGTGAATGGACGGCGATGATGATTTTATACTCCAATATAAAATATGGGCGTATAAATAAGCTCGTGTTTTCAAATCAATTTATTTATCCTTTTAAATGATAAATTATTGACCGAGTAGTTACAAACGTCCCGCTCTGTTGTATGTCTGTTGTACCAATGCACATAGTGTCTGAAAAATGACAGAAGAATAAAGCTTCAATTCATGAACAATAATACTTATTCATTCTGTTGCACAGGGTTCTACTTCGTCTTGTGACAACTGACTGGTTACTTTAACACATTGACTAGTCTACATTAAACTCGTTTCTCTGTTTCAATCGACTTACTTGTGACATCTGGTTGTTACTTTTAACACTTTACACTTGTGACAACTGGTTACGCCAGCTCCAACAGCTCCAACCGGGATATATTGCGCCAAATATTATGGTAAATTTAACGAGACATATAAAAACATTATCACAGAAATGTAAATAAAAACAAATATAACAGAAAGTACAATGAGGGATCTCCGTGAAAAACAAATATAACAGTAAGTATAATCCGTGCGATTTATCTCCCCTTGATAACAGAAAGTATAATGAAAACCAAATATATCATAAATAAAAAGGTTAATGGAAGATTTAAAATCTGTGAAAGGTAAACGTAATTGTGATATGGCAGCTAAGTCTGCTTCAACATTCACTTTAATATCAACAGGTCTGGGAAGGCAGCAAAGGACAATTGTAATACGATATTATTTCGGGATCTAAAATTTAATATTGTATTTTGAATTCATATTTTAATTTATATTTTTCATTTGCAACACAATTTGGACATTTGGCAGTTTAATTGTAAAATTTAATCTGTGGCAGGTTTGGGGATGTTGACAATATTATGTAAGATGTAATGGGTTTGTCAGGGGTCTTCCCATATCGCCGACACACCGAGTTTTGGAAAGTCGACCGCGGCACACTTTGATTGGATTAAAGCGGATTAAAAGCGTTAATGAGGCAGGGACCAGTCATTATTAATATAGTTCACTGAAATTGATTTTTACCACAGACCTTTATTGACTTTTTTGCCGAAACAATTATTAAAATTCGTGAAAAGTTTGTTGACTCCCCCCCCCCCCCCTTACACTGACATTAATGTCCCACACCAGTGTAATTTCTCTGCTTTTGAGCCATTGAATGTTGATGATGTAATATCAGTGGTGTGTCGAATGAAGTGTAAGTCATGTGCTCTGGACCCAATTCCTACAAAACTACTAAAAGAGTGTCTGGATGAAATAGCACCAGCTTTGACGATTATTATAAATGATGTGCTCTCCTCTGGTATTTTTCCGGATGATTGTAAGGAGGCCACTGTAAGACCTTGATTAAAAAAACAAGTCTTGACCGTAATGCACTCAAAAGTTATAGACCAGTGTCAAATATTTCATTTTTAGAAAAATTGCTTGAAAAGATCATTTTATCTCAAATAATAGATTATCCCACTCGAAACTCACTGCTCGGTAAATTCCAGTCTGCTTATCGAGAGGGGCATAGCACTGAAACCGCACTCCTTAGAGTGCATAACGATGTTATAGATATGAACAAGGAAGACTGAATTTATTAAAATTTTTGGACTATGTTGGACCCTGTGCAGAAATTTAAAATTGTGTTATGTTATGTATTATAAATTAAAAAAAAAATAAATGCTCCCAAAATTATCTGCTTAATGAGGTTTATCTTTCAGCGTGGGTCTATTGTTCTTGGCCACTCATTCCCATAACGTCGACCAAAATTTTTCCCCTAAAACTCGTTGAGTCGGCGATATGGGAATGAACCGTTTGTCAAACTTGTATACTCGGAGTGTCTATATGATATAAGATTTAGGCTTAACACGTATCGACACCTTTTGTCTAAAGATAAGATGTGTGATTCTTAATAATTAGTTTTCATTGTTCTGATTACTAATGCTATTAACTATGGCGTGCCTATATGACGCGACAGATATTGTTGCACCTTATAAAAAGCCTAGTTGAGAATCAGACGGAGGCAGACCTAGAGAGACGGGAAAGGCCTGTAGAGACCTAGAGGGAATTCGGTCCGGACCTCGGGAGAGGGCCTGCCCTCGACCCCGGAGAAGAGAGGTCCTGTGAGGCCCAGGTGGAGCAGCTATTGATAGACGTTGCTATACCCAACCAAATGATGTTCATATGTAGAATTGTACCTGTAAATATGTTATCCAGTATTAAAATATTGTTTTAATAAATAAGAGTTATGGCTGTTAAACTCGTGTGATAGTAACAGACGCCAAATGCGTGCTACTAGCGGGTGTACAAAGTGTTTATTGCTTGTAAAGAGGACACAATCAGTAAATATGATGTGTTTTAAAGATGAAGAGGATTTAATGAACTTCAAAGCCTAAAATGTAAGTAAATAAATATATAGTGTATATATATATATACATGTATTCAAATTCAAAATTTTTGTCTCATATTGGAGCAGATATTAATGATATAACATCACTAAAGGGAGGTGTCTCATATAACAGGGGCGGATCCAGGAATTTTTGAAGGAGGGTGTTGCCAGGGTCCTACCATGAACTTGAACATTTTTAAGAAGAAAAATACATGGTCTCTATCACCTTTTCACGTATATACATACACACTAAGCTTTTTAAAGAGAGGAATCCAACACCCCAATGGTTAGCGCCGTGTCATAAGGTCTGTCATTGAATCAACTGGCGTGGTTTCGATTCCCTCGGTTGTACGTGACAAGGAGTAGGGGCACCTGTCCAACCTCGTGGGGTTTCTCCAGGTCCTCCGGTTTCCTCCCACTGCTAAAGACCCCTACGCGCAAGCGAATCATTCAAATAAAATTTAACCATATGTTAGTCCTCTATCGCTCGCTATCTAATATGGTTTACTTTATGTAAAGGAGTAGACTTTATCAGCCTATTGTCATTCAATGAACAATAAAAAATGTTTACGCTTATTACTGTACAAATTGTTCTAGAATAGTCTCTGGGGAAAAGCATTTTGGATTTCATGTAGCCAGGACACACAATAACTAGAATTCAATGTGTGGCGGTGAGACATTTTAACTTTACATTTAATAATTTCTATATTTCTACATTGACTAATGGACTATTTAACTTGCCGATCTTGAGCTTTTATTTCTAATGCATGTCCCTATTCTAATTAACAGTCTCAGTATTCAAAGCATTGTAAGATATTCTCAAAGCTTCCAGGGCGCATATATATATCACAGAGTAAATGGTAAATTTAACGAGACATATAAAAACATTATCACAGAAATGTAAATAAAAACAAATATAACAGAAAGTACAATGAGGGATCTCCGTGAAAAACAAATATAA